ACATATGGGTTTCTGTGAATTTGTTTCTCTAATGTACCCAGACTAACACACTCTCCCTCCACTTCACCATGATGATGTCCTTCTCCAGGAACTGGTCTCTGGATAATAAGGTCTTCTCCCAACATGATTTGCTCTGGGTGCAAATCATTTCTTCACATTTAGAGAGTGCTTACACAGAAGGGCCTGCCGTAAAAGTGATAAAATCTGAGTGAGTAGATTAAATAGAGCATGGATGGATAGACGGGTAGATAGAGAGATGTTGTTAGTTGCCGCCGAGTCATGACAGCCTTATGTATAACAGAACAAACATTGCCTATTCTGCTACCCTTTTCATGATGATCTGCATGTTTGAGTCCATTTTTGCAGCTAACTTGGCAACCCATCTCCTTGAGGGCTTCCCTTGTTGTCTGTGTCTATACTGACTGGTCTTACGGAAAGTCTTTTTTCTATGATTGGTCTTTTCTGATGTGTGCCCAAAGGAAGTTGAGGTCTCACCATCTTCATTGCTAAGGAATGCTCTGGTTAGACTTCTTCTTAGACTGGTGGGTGCCACAGTGGTGAAGGTGCTTGGCTGCTGACCAGCAAAGGGTCAGCCATTGGAACCCAGCACAGGAGAGAGATCAGGCCGTCTGGTCGCATAAGGATTTGCAGCTTGGGAAGCCCTGTGGGACAGTTCTATTCTGACCTCCTGGGCGGCTATGAGTTGGAATCAACAGGGTTTGGGGTTTTTTGGAGTCCTTGTTGTTGGTTTTTTTTTTAAGGTAAACAATAATTTATTGAGGCCCGCCCTCCCAGGTTCAGGTCACTTGTGGCACATGTCGATCGTGTGTGCTAGCCCCAGGAAGACGGAGGGCGGCAGCAGCCCGATGCACTGCTCAATGAGGCTCGTGAGGCTGGAGAAGCCGGCTTCCTTGTACTGCCGGAACATAGCCGGCAGCTCCATCTCTTCATCCATGGCCTTCACCTACGCCACCTTCTCTGCCTCCTTCTGCCCGTCATTCTCCTGCAGGACCCGGTGCTGCTCCGGAGAGGCCAGCTGCATTTGTTGTCCTGATGTCATTGCCAACCTTGCCCATCACTCTGGGGTCACCAAAGAGGTCCAGGGAATCATCCTGACTCTGAAAGAACTCGCCCATCTCCAGCAGGATCTGCTTGGCATTGGCACGCTCCTTCTCCCGGTCAAAGCCCGGCCATGGCCATGGCAGCAGAGACGGGATGGTAAAAGGAGTAGAATGAGGTTTTGTACTTGATGGATTTGTACCTCTTTGGGGTAAATCTGCTGAGATCCACGTTGCCCTGGGGGGTGGTGATGAGGTCCAGGGCCTGTCCCATCTCCGTCTGATAGGAATTCTCCGGGAAGAGCTCATGCAGGCGCAGGTAGCAGGGCTGCCCCCGGCAGTAGAACTTCAACAGGTGGTAGATAGAGGATTCCAGCAGCCTGGCGTCATTGATGGCATCCAGACCTATGCCTGGCTTCTGGTACCAACAGGGCTGCCCCCGGCGGGTGAGGGATGAATCCATTCTGTCATCCAGTATCAAGAGGAAAGCTAGGAACAACTTGACACACCAGCCCATGCTCAGGGCCCGCTGCAGACTGTTGGCATCCTGCTCCCTGGGCTCCACCAGCTCCTGGAACACAGCCACCACCATCACACCTCCGTTGTACTTGCCTACGATGACTTTGCATTCTACGACCTTCTTAAGCCAGGCGACAGCGTCTCCCGTCTCTGGGGGCTCCAGGTCATCCTTGGTCAGCACTTTGAGCACATGGGAGAAGTGCTGGATGAAATTCTGCTTTTCTTGGGCATAAGCATCCACTTTCTGGTCTCCATTCATCCTGAGAGAGGAGAAAAATGCTCTGTTCCAAGTTGCAAGTTCTTGCTTGGTCGACAGGGTTTGGTTTTTATGGGTTAGGACAGATTTGTTCATTCTCTTGTCAGTTCGATAATCTTTGCTAACATCTCACGGGAAGGCATCGATTCCTCTGTCTTTCCTTTTTCATTATCCAACATATAGAGCAGAGAGCCTCAGAGGAACCCAACATCAGGGGAAAGGAACAATGATTTACTGAGCGCCTAGTGATTGGAAGAGATCCAGACTTATGACCCTTCCAAAGAAAAGAGATTCAGCCAAATTATGAAATTGTTTAACAGCATCATTAATATCACCCACAAGTAAAAGGTTGCTAACGATAACTCACAAGCGGTTGCAGCCGCAATATAGAGAACTACCAGAGGACCTGGAACACGGGATGCCAGTATGGCATCAGATGGATCTTACCTGAAAGTCAACCACACTGGAAACGTGCCCCTTGCGTTTTACTGACCAGGTCAAGGCGCTCGACGGTGCAGGTTGTAACAAATTATTGATACCAGGGTGAACACTTAGTTATGCGCAGATGGAACCTATATCGAGACCAAGAGGCATTTGTTCAAACAGCACGGAAATACTGCATGGTTTCAACTCAGGAAAAATGTGCATCAGGATTGTGTCTTTCACTGCACTTTTGCCATCTGCATGCAGAGCAAATAATTGGGGACACTGGACCCTTTGAAGGAGGCGGTGGCATGGGGACTAGAGGAAGGCTGGTTAACAGCGACTGCAAACGCGGGCCCACATGTGACAATTGTGAGGCTGGTGCAGGACTGCGCAATGTTCCATCCGGTTGTCCTTATGGTCATGAAGAGACAGAACGGACCCGGTGGCACCCAATAGTAGCAACCACCACCATGTGTCTGGTGCTTTTATTAATCAACAGAGCAGTTGCAGGCACACTCGCCTAAGGAATCATCGCTCCCATTTGTCAGCTGAGAAAACTGAGGTCCAGAGGGGTTAGATAACTTGCCCAGAGCCATCCAATTAGCCAGCCATGCTCTTTTCTGTACCTCTCCCTGCCTTCTGAGGCAGAGAATACCCCCACCCCCACACCACACCCCCACCACCCAGTTCTGAACTGTCTTTGTCACTTTGTCCCTTTGTTTCCTGCAAGAACATCTTGGATAGGTAGAGAAAAGCCCCACACCACATTCCATTCCATTCTCTGAGAACCTGAAACTGGCTCCTCCACCTGGCCTTCAAGGCTCCTGGGAGAAAGCGAGGCCTCTCGGGGAGATGAAAGAGCATTCTCTTTAGGCCCTCACTCCCTCCCAGCCAGCACAGAGATGTTTTCCTGGCTGGCCAGGGTCCAGGGGTGCACTTAGGCACTTGGTCTGGGGCCAGAGGCATGTATGGTGCATTGTAGACAGAGGTCCTCCTTGTCTTCCCACCACATGTCACTTCCGGCAGCTCCATCCACTCCCTCCCCTGCCTTTCTTCTGGCATCCAGGACTGGCAGGTACCTAGGAAGGAGCTTGGCCACACAGGACGACCACCCCACCCCCATGCTAGCACTCAGGAGGTGAGCTCAAGCCTCCAGAGAATTCTCTAGGCCTTCCCGGCAGACTGGACCCACGAGGGAGTTCCGGGGTCACTGATTGTGATGAGAATAAGGGTCTGGGGGTCATGAAGCAATGCTCCTGCCCTTTCGCTAGGAGGGGCATTTGCCCCTGAGGAAGGAGGCGTGCACCTCTGCCATGCCCCTAAAGGGGCCTTTTGAAGGCCCCTGAGCGGTGTGAACGGTTAATGTGCTCCACTACTAACTTGAAGGCTACAACTCTGAGGCCATCCAGAGATGCCGCAGAAGAAAGGCCAGGCAAACTTTTTCTGAAAAAAACGCAACCATTGGAATCCCATGAAACTCATGGACACACATGAGGTCGCCCTGAGTCAGACTTGACGACTGACCCCTAGTACTGGTTTGGAGGATGGGAGAGAGGCCTGAATCTCTTGTACCTCTTCCTCGGTTGGCCTTCCCAGCCTCTTTCCTCCATCCTCTGATGGAGGGTGTCTCCTATGAGTCGACTTCCCAGCATGATGCGGGGGTCACTCGCTTTACCCGGCTCTCACGCGACTTTCATCTCGGGGGTTTTATCTGGCTGGGGTCTGGGAACAGCGTGGAGAAGAACTCAGCATCAAGTCCTTGGTAGCCGGTAACGTAACTGGAGCAGGGACATTCCCACAAAGTCAAGGACAGTGCAGGAGCCCATCCCAGGGGAGGAGCCAAAGGAGGGTCCACCCACCTCATCTCAGTCCCTCCCAGGGCAGTTCAACAGCTCAGATTTCTTCACAGAGACTGCCACTCCATCAGAGGGTGGCTGCCCGCCCACATCCAGAGAGTCGGGGCTGAAGATGACAAGAATCCCGTGGGCCCAGCACACCATGCCATGCTCGAAAGCCCAGCCTGAAAGCTGAAGGTCCTGCCCCAGGGGAGCCCTCGGCAGCTGCCTGGTAAGGGAACTGCTGGCCCTGCTGGGGCTTGGGAGATGGGCGGGGAGGGGACAGATACAAGCCCTGTCCAGGAAGGGGTGCCACCAGCTGCCTCTCCCCCAAACACCCACTACCATCTAGTCAACTCTGAAGCATAGTAACGCTCTGTAGGGTTTCCAAGACTGTAACTCTTTACGGGAGCAAATAGCTTCCTCTTTCTCCTGACAGGTGGCTGGAGGGTGAACTGCCAACCTTGTGGTTCTAGCCCAGTGTTTCTCCAAGAGTGCCACCAGGGATTCCAGGGTCCCTAGTGTCTTGTCCTGACCCTGTGCCAACCTGAGTTCCTCCAAAATGGCTCTCTGGGTGGCAGCGTGGAGTACAATATAAGGAGCGTGAGCTTTGGGTGTTCACCACTCCCTGAGATCACTGATGTCCTCAAGAAAGACAGGGGAGGAATGGGAACGCATGTTTGAGACCTTTCTATTCCCATTTGTTGGACAGGAAAACTGAGGCTCCGAGAGGTTTAATGGCTCGGGTTTGTCTAAATCCAAAAGCCAAGCCCTGTTCTCTGAGTAGGAGGGTTTTGAGCAGAGGTGCCCTCTGGGTAGGGTGAGAGCACAAAGATCCAATTTGGGAGCCTGCTGAGTCCTGTGGTCTTGCTGTGAATACATGCTCCATGCGTGCTGAACGTTATAGATGGTTCCAGCCCTGGGGATGCTTCCCTCTGGTGGCTCAGTGCACTGCTCTGCTAACCGCCATTCCCCGAGACTGCGTCTTCCTTCAGGCTGGCAGAGAAACCAACAGTCACCTAATGGCTGGCTCCCGCTGTACCACCACTTGGAATGTGCTGAGGACACGGCAGCACAATGTCCCAGAGATGGGCTTGGTGTAAGAATGCCAAGTGGAATCCAGCTCTACACAGGATGTGGGTTCTCCTCCCAGATGTAGTGCTTGGAGGAGGGACTGGGAGAACCCATCAAACCACTGCCTCTGAATGATTGTGTGACTCCAGCCAGATCCCTTCACCAAGCTGAACTTCCAGCTATAATAGTTAGCTCCCACTGGGCAAGATGGTCCAGAACTAAATGAGAGTAATCCCCAAGCATGGCCCTGGCACATCAGAGGCCATTGATGGCCTTCCTGGATTCCTTTGTCTGCCCATTATAAAGGGGGCCATACTCAGGAGCCTTGCGAGAGTAGGCAAGGTGGGGCGAGATCACATTTCAGGCTCAGGCCTGGGCAAGCCTTACCCTAGAGTGAAACTCTTTGGCCAAGACCCAAACATTGTCTCTTCCTAATGTAGGGTTGAGCACCTGGGCGTTACAAACTGTTAACATATCTGGCTGCCAACCAAAAGTCTGGAGGGCTGTGCCCACCCAGAGATACCTTGCAGAAAGTCCTGACCATCTACTTCCAAGACCTCAGCCATTGAAACCCTGAGGGAGCACAATTGTACTCTGGCACACAGGAGTCAGAGCCAACTTAATGGCAACCAGTTGCTTTTTCGTGTAAGATTGGCCACAGGAAAAGCACTACGTGATGATAGCCTTGGAGATGAGGACTGGCGGTTTCCCTATGTTACTCGATCAAGGGTAGATTCCTCCAGAGGGAGAAAGCATTGAGAGACATCCCAGAATAAGAAGAGAACAAATAGACCTATGGGACAGAAAGGACAAGGTCACAGAAGGCTGAGGGTGTTGGGAAGGGTTGAGGGTGGGTGGGCACAGAGTGGCAGTGGGGAAGCTTCCACATCTTTGCTCATTATCTGGAGGGCCCACTGCCCTCCTTTGTCCACTGAGTAAATGCAACACTTCCTTGGAGACTCAAACGCCCCTGTCTAGGACTTCTATCTTGGCCTGTCCCATCCTCCCCCAGTGGAGCTAACCACTCGCTACCTCAGCACACCAGCATTTCTTTGCCTCTGCACTGTTACAGGACTACCTCAAGGAAGCTCCCGCCCCTGCTTACACACCCTCTGCTCCCCCTGGAGGAGTTCCGTGGTGTCCTGAAAGGTACACTTGTTAAACCTTGGAAACATTAGATGAAGGAATGGCAGATCCACTTCATGGGGGACCGAGGGAAGAACGGGGTATGAGGAGACAGGCTAAAGAAGGTGATCTGCGTGAGATGGTGGGTGGAGCCATAAAGTTGGCCATAAAATTTCACATATATGTGAAATTTGTGAGTGAGAAGGAAATACACTGAGGTAGAGCTGTAGGACACACAGGCTTACGTCAGTGCATAGATGCTCACTGCTGATTCTGCAGTCACGAAAAAGGCAAAAATGCCCAGTATCCAAATATAAAACCCCAAATCCCCAAACTGTTGAGTCAATTCAGACTCGTGGAAACCTCAAGTGTGTAGAGTAGAGCCGTGTTCCGTAGGGTTTTCTGGTGTATAACCTTTATAGAAGCAAACCATCAGGACTTTCTCCCACTGTGTCCATGGATGGATTTGAACCGACAACCTTTAGGTTAGTAGTGAAGCACAAACTATTTGTGGCACCCAGGTACCTCCATAGATTACCTGTAACAGAAACAGTGGTACATTTATATTATGAAATAAATATCTTGCAACTAATATGCTCAATTCATGTGGAAAGCATTGTTGATGCAGGGAAACAGTATGGTGTTATGATTAGAAGGTAATGCTGCCCCTTACTTGCTCTACTATCTTGGGATCATTTCTTAACCTCCCGAAGCCTCTGTTTCCCCACTTGTAAAATGAGGGTGATAGTAGTTACTTCTGAGAGATGTGGTGAGACTCTGTGAGGAGTTTAACACAGTGCACACATGCATTAAGTATTCAACGATGGCTTTCTGTTGTTACTGCGAAGGGAAAAAGAGCACAGAGCAGTCCAACGGGCGCCGTCTCACCCTAGTTTAGCTTCTAAATGTTTTGTTATGTGGAGATTTTTGTGTATGTGAATATGTGAATATGAGTGTGTGTGCATG